ACTACAGAAAGGAAATGGAAAGGAGAGTCCAGGGGAGGGCGAAATGATCAGGGGGCTGGGGCACATGACTTACGAGAGAGGCTGAGGGAACTGGGCTTATTTAGTCTGCAGAAGAGAAGAGTGAGGGGGGATTTGATAGCAGCCTTCAATTACCTGAAAGGGGGTTCCAAAGAGGATGGATCTAGACTGTTCTCAGTGGTAGCAGATGACAGAACAAGGAGTAATGGTCTCAAGTTGCAGTGGGGGAGGTTTAGGTTGGATATTAGGAAACACTATTTCACTAGGAGGGTGGTGAAGCACTGGAATGGGTTACCTAGGGAGGTGGAGGGATCTCCTTCCTTAGCGGTTTTTAAGGTCAGGCTTGACAAAGCCCTTGCTGGGATCATTTAGTTGGGGATTGGTCCTGCTTTGAGCAGGGGGTTGGACTAGATACCTCCTGAGGTCTCTTCCAACCCTGATATTCTATGATTCTATGATTGTACAGTTGGTTGCCCTTGATGGCCCATCAAATAGGCTTAGTGCTGATGCCATTCTGTCTGGGGGTGTCACCCAGAAACGCAGCACCAGCTTGGAAATACAGTTCTACCCCACAAATCTATAACAATACAAAGGTGATACAAACACAGACACAAGATTATCAGACTTGATAAATCCTAACATTTTCCCTTACACCTTACCCAGCATAGCTAGCACCAGTCATTGCAGTTTTATAATATTGGTATTAATAATAACACTGCAAAGTGTCTCACAATTCCATACAGCGTGACAGCCAGGAATTGAATTATTCTGTCCATCACGAGTTCTTCTAAAGCCTTGAGGTTACATTAACAGGTGTGTAATTGCACTTGTCGCCCTTCCTTAAATCTATGTCTGACGTTGGCTGTTCTCCAGTCAGATGTTACTACCCCTAAATCCTCGTGACCACACTAACCACATCCTGTGCCAGTTCTTTCAGTATTCTGGGATGGGAATTACTCTGTCCCCCTGAGCTGAGCACAATCCGCTTGTTAAGTTTTCTTTCACCTCCGGTGTGGTAATTTCTAGACACTCCCTGTTTCCATCCGCCAGCCTGTCTTCATGCACGTGTTCCATATCAGCAGCTTTATTGAAAGCCAAGAGACAGGATTCATTTCGGTTTTGTGCCATACCCAGATTACCTTTAATCTCCTTCCCATCCACACTGCTGTATGGCCCAACCCCATCTTTCCACGATGTCGCTTTCCTTGCTGAACAGCTCCATTTCCCGCTCCCTGCTTCGTCTGAATAACCCTTTTGACATGGCATTAACTCTTCTAAACTCAGTACAGAAATGACTATGGGGTCTGGTTGGGAACTAGAATGACTGGACTGCACCATTGCGACTCTTTGACTACCCCATGTTCCAACATACTTTGTAACTCCCGTTTGGTTGCCTCCCGCATTCATTTGGGGATCTGGAACCTGCTGTTCTAACTGGCACCCAGGATCATTTGTAAGCCATGCTCTATGAGGTGAGTCTTGCAGGCTTGGTGGAGAAGACATCACCAAAGGTATGGACAGAGTGAAAGCCCTAC